ATTTTTTAATTTTTTTAGTTTGAAAAATCATTGAGAGAATATATTTTATTTTTAAACAAAATAAATTTTATAAATAATCTTTTTTAAATGTAAGTATTTTTTCATAAATGTAAGTAATTTTTTGATATATTTGTTTATTTTATAAATCTAAGTACTCTTTTGGTTCAAAAAATGTTTAGGGACTTAATCGTTCAAAATATGAAAGTGCATTGACTTTTTTCTAAATTTTTTTTCCCATTATTTTACCACATTAACCGGTTGCATAGGTCATAAGGATGTATCTAACAAGTTTTAGAAAGTTCAATGAGTATTTAACATGTTTTGAAATGTCCAATGACTTATTTGTTTTAAAAAATTGTTCAATTACTTAATTATTCCAAACAGCAAAGTCCATTAGGTTTTTTTTATACTTTTCCCACATTAATAACAACAAAATAAAAAAGTCTAGCATTTGGTCTACTCGTCAATTACTAGGGAGTTGTTTCTTAAAATGTGTGGTGTTAGTTTTGATTATGACTGAATGTAATAAAATAAAATAGTGAGGGTGTGATATGATGGTGAGGTCAAGTCTCAAATCTTGAGAGTTGCATAAAGGTCATCGTATTTTTTAAGGCGTGACTTATGTCGATAAATTTGTATATTATATAAACATGTAACACCCGTGGTTTTATGAGCATTATTTCGAATGATAAAGCCATATTCTCCTTACTAAAATGTTGATTTACGAGTTGGCATTAGTGTCAAATCATCTTGGTTGATTCCAATATCAAATCGAGCAGGGCTATAAAAAGGGTACCCGCGACCTTTTGTGTGACTTGAGCCGCATGATAAGCTGTGTAACTCACTGGATCATGTGACCAGGTACACGGGCAACTAGACAGGCGACCTAAGTTGCGGGCTAAGTCGTCGCACCTGTTTGGTTCGATTTAAAAAGCCATTTTTGGCTGGGTTTGGCCATTCTCCTCCTCTCTTCCACTTTTTACTCTAATGGGGCAATTTTGGCACCATTGGGACCGAGTTTTAGTAGCTTTTTGGAGCAAATGAAAGAAATAACTTAGAAATGGAAGAATCTTAGTTGTTGGTCTCAAGTTTAGGTTGAGGTAAACATTTTTGGGTATTTTGAATTTTAGATTGGATTTGTTGTAGATCTGATCATGTGGTTGCATTTGGTGTCCTTCTAGACCTGGGTCGTTGATTTGAGAAATTTTCTAAAGGTTCTTGCTTGTGGATCTCAAGTTTTCACCAATGGAAACTAGAATTTGGTTTGTAATCTAGGTTTACTCTAACATAGCAAGGTGAATTCAAGTTGTTTTATGAAAACTTTGTACGTGCCAAAGTTATCCATTTTGAAGTCTTAAAGATGTTTTTATCGATATCTGTCAAATTTGTTGATTATTTGATGAGATTTGCATCTTTGATATATTTGGTATAAATCTTGTGTCACATTTGAGACTTTTAGTCATTTTGATAAATAAACTCTAAAATGTGGAGATTTCAATGATTTATTTCTCTGTGAGAAAATTATTTGACAATAATACACTTTTGGTATTTGATTTTATAAATCATTCGAAAAATACATATGATTGAGTTTGGTTGGATTTTGTAGTGTTTTGGGTCATGAGACTTGATAAACTATTTGAATGCATTATGGGGGTTATGACGACTCGTTTTGGTTAGTCAAACGTATTGAAGAGCTTATTGGTTTGTATTTGAACAAATTCTCGCTTTGGGATTTTGTCCCATTTTTTAGTTAATAATGATGTTATTCAAACCACTTGGTGTATAAGTTGCATACACGTTGGGTATTCGCATTTTATTGATTTATATGGACTTTTATTGATTATTTGAATGAATCGTTGAGTATTTGGCGTGGTTTTGACTCAGATGAGTTTTGGGAACATTTATTCAGTTTAACTTGCTGAATGTTGAGCTTTCATATGTGATATGCAATTATGTTTTATTTATTTGAAAATTACATGTTTTGAATGCATTGGTCATTTAATAGGAGTAATGTAATTTAGAATTAATGCAATGGATCCATGGACATAGATATCCGTCTTTGATTGTTTTAAAGTGGGATCTTTACCCCTATAATGTAGCTAGATATATTTGGATCTGGAAAGGACTCAAGGTATACACCATGAGTGGTTGAACTTCATGTGATCCAAGTGGAGGACTCAAGGTACAGAC